TTTTTTTTTTATAATCATGGATGAATCCATTTATTTTCTCACGTGGAAAAGCTGCCAATCCTTCTCGGCAAAAAGCCTTCAGGTGTTATTGGTTGTCTAGCATGAACTTCATGGTTAAGATCCCCCAAAGTGTCCCAATGATGTTGAGGTCAGGAGAATGTGATGGCCTGCGAAGGAACCTCCAGTTTTTGTTGCTGCAGATGCTGAAGTGTCGACTTGGCCTTATGTTTGGGATCAGCGTCATGTTGAAAAGTCCAAAGGGGGTTATTCACTATTGAGCCGAAGGATACAGCTGTAGCTTCGGCTGATCCCTCGGCTCTCTTCGGCCGCCTCTGCCCTTTGGTTCAGTCGAACCGAAGGGCTGCTGTACGGGCTATTCACAATAGCCCGTACAACAGCCACAAATGACGGTTGGGCGGAGCCAGCCGTGATCTCACAGCTGGCTCCGCCCAGTTGTAATGACAGATCAGTGTCCCCAAATGACCTGGGGATGCTGATCTGTCATTAAACAATAACAACTGGGCGGAGTATTTAAGCATAATAAGCCCAGAGCTCTGAGCTTGTCAAAGTTCAGTCTAGTTCTGTCTGCACAAGCCGTTCTCTTGCCGTGTAGATCTTGTATCTTGCATCCTAGTCCTGCCTGGAATTCTGTACCGTCTTGTATCCTTCGTACTGTATTTGTCTTGAATCAGTTCCGGTCTTATTTCGTACTGCTGCCTTGATCCTGTATCGTAGTCTTGTCTTGTAGCTTGCTACCTGTTTCTGTCTCACCCTTTACCCTGTACCTGTCTTGAATCTTGTAACCTGCTTCTATATTGTATCTTGCTTTCTGCATCTTGCTACCAGTCAGTAGACATGTGCACTGCCAAAAAATGTGTTTAATTTCGTTTCGTTTTGATTCGGATTTGTGTTATTTCGTTTTTCGGGATTCGGCTGTGAAAGTCAATTCGGATTCGTACGAAATTCGTTAGCGGTAGTTCGTTCGAACGTTCGTTTCGTTTTCGTTTTGTTCATTCGTTTGCAGCAAAAGTGACATTTGAGGGGGAAATTTTTTTTCTCCTTCTCTAATGTCACTTTGCTCCAACGAACGAAACGAAAACGAAACGAACGAACTACCGCTAACGAATTTCGGAAATGGAAATTCGGATTCGTTTGCATTCGTTATATCTGTAATTCGGAATTCGGATACATCCGAATTTCCGAAAATTCGTCCTAATTTGGATTCGGAACGAAACGAATCGCACATGTCCACCAGTGAGTACTACTCCTTCGTTCCCGGGGGGCTTCCTGCATCATTTAGAGCCAGAGTGTATATATACACTGAGTGGCCAGATTATTATATACACTGAGTGGCCAGATTATTATATACACTGAGTGGCCGGATTATTATATACACATCACCACTAATAGAAAACACAAAGAGAGGGGCGCCTTTCCTATTTCTTTGTGTTTTCTTGTAGATGTCTCAAGTCACCCTGATTGTATTGGGGCCGTATCCTGCACTTATGCTCTGTATGTTTCCCTTATGAGGGTTAAGGGATGACTGCTTCTGGCGCTTCCGGACACCAATTTTTTTAACTCACCTCTACTATACACTCTAAACCCCTGGTTCTCAACTGGTGGGTCGTGACCCTGTGTTTAGTGGGTCGCCGCATGCCTTCCACTTTTCTAGGTGAGAGGCTCCTCTGCCTACCCCTAGCGCAGCACTGTCAGTTCTCGCTCCAAGCAGCCATTCAAAATATGCTGCCCGGTGCTGGATGTCAGCTTGAGGTGGGCTGGGGCTATGGCCACGAGGGAGCTCCATCCATATGTGCATTGCTTACAGCTCCCTCACGTGCCCTATAGAGGTGCCTGGACCAGAGTGACGTCACATTCTGGCTCCCGGCACCTCTACAGGGCACGCAAGGGAGCTGTACAAGCAATGTACATATGGATGGAGCTCCGTCACAGCACAGCAGCCCACACGGGACCCCAGCCTGCGGATCCACTCCACTTCTCGTAAGGTAGAGGGAATGGGTGGATCTTAAAAAATTATTTTTTAAATTAAATATTTTTTGGAGTGTGGATGTGTGTGTGAGAATGTCTATGAGTGTGTCAGGTTTTGTCTGTGGTTGTGTATGTATGTCAGTGTTTTTGAGGGCTCGTTCACACTAGTCCCATGCGATTAACGCACTGTACAATGCAATTGCACCTATCATGCGTTCTGGTGTGGGAGGTGCATTGGGGTGCCATTCATTTGACACACCACCCAAATACAGCTCATACACCCGCACTGGAACGCGCGGTACCCTAATTCCATTGCAGTGCGAATTGGGTCGCCACTTAATGACCAAGGACAAAGGTCCTGAGGTTACACAGGTTGAGAACCACTGCTCTAAACTAAAGTGTCTGCATCTGGTCCTGAAAACATTAAAATTTCTACCAAGGGTGTGTAAACTTATGAGCACAACTGTACAATGTAAACATAACAGACAGGCAGCATATAATACAACTTAAGAAAGGTGAACTTCAACTTACCAAGTCAGTGACATTCTACCTAGGCAGGGGAAGGTGACGAAATCTTATGTGTGCAGCAGAAATCACCATCACCAATACACAACAACGTTTAAGGGGAGCTGGGATATTGTTGCCAAAAACTAAACCATGTGCAAAGCTGTCACCAGATCACATGCCAAAGACAATGACGATTCTATTCTCCTGATCCTTTTCACCAAGCGGGGGGGGGAGGGGGGCACTCTCATTCTAGATATGTCAGCGCTTGCCAACTGTGACAATTTCTGAGAATTTCCCATCACCAACACCTGAACGCAATGCGCTAAGCCCGGCACCAACACATGAAGCTTATACCCAAACGGGGGCCTATCATTTCAGCTCGGTATTACCACCCCCATCGTCACCTCCGGAGGGGAGTTATTCAGTGCGGTGCTGATGCAGAGAATCTGGTTTTCGTTTTTATGAAAACCGTCTGACGTTCCCCACTGAGCCATAAACAGAATGGGTAATGTGACATTGCGGAAAGGATCACAGACAGCGACAGGACTGAGGCGCTCATGAAAAGAGACAGGAGAACAGAACTGACGGCGTGCATTGCACACACCGCACAGGATTACGAGAGCCGCTGACACATATTTAGAAATTACAAAAGTGTGAGAAGAGGAAAGGATGACAATTTGTTCAGCATCACACAAGAGGCACCAAAACAGAGGCTATTATTTCATGACAAACAAGGACAGAAGGCGGGACACCAGGAGTGCGGACAGCGCCAAGTGCAGGAGGCCCGAGAGCGAGGGAGGGAGAGATGGGGGGACATACCGCAGACTCGGAGGCACTTTCTGGGGTATTCCTGCAATGGGTTCGCATGGAGAGGACACCCTGATAAGAGAGGACATGACACTTGTACACAAACAGGAAGAGAACGCACAGACAAGATGGTCGCTTAACCAAACACGGACAGCTCTCTTACATAGCTCGGGCAGACATTGGACTCTCAGCGGCATGGGGGGTGAAGGAGAAGCCGTCTTGCAACAGATCACACAACAAGTTGGTTATTACAAATTAGAATTGGTTTCGGCTCTGCCGTGTAAAGCATTATTCTCACTACAAGGACAGTCTGGCAGTCCACAGATATATACACAGGCTTTCCCAATAAGGCAAAACGCAATATGCAAAGTGCAGGGGCCTATAATAATAATCCAAAAACTATCTGACTGCTACATAGTAAAATCTGGCTGCTATGGGGTGCTGCGATTTATAGTTCCTCATTACTCTTTAAAAATATATTACTGAAAACCACCAACAGACAAGACAAGGGCAGCTGCAAGAATTCAGGAACAAACATAACACTTCCATTTTCAGAGGCTCGGGGGGCAAATATAATGTCTATGAGAAGCCTATCCATTCACTAGAGATCAGCGACATCACTAATGACATATCTATTCCCTAGGGACCTGTGACATGATTTACACATTTAGTGCAGGAAAATTGGGTCACACACATGTGAAGAATTTATGAATCACAGACATGCAATATGTACCTGTAAGTCCATTCACTAGAGACCGGTGACATCACTGAGAATGCAGCCAATCCAATCACTAGAGACCGGTGACATCACTGAGAATGCAGCCAATCCATTCACTAGAGACCGGTGACATCACTGAGAATGCAGCCAATCCAATCACTAGAGACCAGTGACATCACTGAGAATGCAGCCTATCCATTCACTAGAGACCAGTGACATCACTGAGAATGCAGCCAATCCAATCACTAGAGACCGGTGACATCACTGAGAATGCAGCCAATCCAATCACTAGAGACCGGTGACATCACTGAGAATGCAGCCAATCCAATCACTAGAGACCAGTGACATCACTGAGCATGCAGCCAATCCAATCACTAGAGACCAGTGACATCACTGAGAATGCAGCCTATCCATTCACTAGAGACCAGTGACATCACTGAGAATGCAGCCAATCCAATCACTAGAGTCCAGTGACATCACTGAGATTGCAGCCTATTCAATCACTAGAGACCGGTGACATCACAGAGAATGCAGCCAATCCAATCACTAGAGATCGGTGACATCACTGAGAATGCAGCCTATCCATTCACTAGAGTCTGGTGACATCACCGAGCATGCAGCCTATCCAATCACAAGAGACCAGTGACATCACTGAGAATGCAGCCAATCCAATCACTAGAGACCGGTGACATCACTGAGATTGCAGCCTATCCATTCACTAGAGACCGGTGACATCACAGAAAATGCAGCCCATCCATTCACTAGAGACCAGTGACATCACTGAGAAGAAGCCTATCCGATCACCAGAGACCGGTGACATCACTGAGAATGCAGCCTATCCATTCACTAGAGACCAGTTACATCACTGAGAATGCAGCCTATCCATTCACTAGAGACCGGTGACATCACTGAGCATGCAGCCTATCCCTTCACTAGACACCGGTGACATCATGCATGACCTAGATTGTTCATTCACTAGGAACCGGTGACACGACTGCCAAATTTAGTGCAGAAAAATGAGGTCACACACATATGGAGAATGTATGATTCACAGACATGCAGTAGGTACCTGTGAGTTAACAGACTGGCCCATCGGTATGCGTGAACATTCAAGAGCATACTGCTTCACACAGAAATAGCATCCCTATGGAAGAAAGGCACAGATCAGAATCCAGAGAGCCAAAATCCGTTCATCTCTCACCATTACCTGTCCGTTCCTGCTACCAACCTGGAAGGAGAGTTCCATCAGTACAATGCCTCCCGGCAGCGCCCTCTGCAGGTGGTAAATGGTCACTGTAGGAGCTGTACTCTGCAATGCAAACACATTTTGCACTATATATTATTTATTGCCTCTAAATATCTGAACATAAATGTTATGTCCAAGATCAGGCACCACGGGGGCAAGCAAGGAGCATTTCCAAAAGTGGTGTTCTGTAATAGCAGCCTACATATACAGGTTCCCTTCAATACGTAGCTTTAATATCTGTAGCAGGCAGCTTAACAATCTTTCTTCTGGACATCTCACCACTCAGGACTTACCTTAGGACTGCCCTCGCTTTTTGGTTTGGACGTTCTGTTCTCTGGAGCCAGTGAGGCCACCGCTCTGATCCGCGCTATGCTGTGAACACAAAGATTAAAAGATCGCAGTTTCCTTCATGCTTTCATTTTGTTTTATTGCAGTTATACACTGAGTGGCCGGATTATTATATACACTGAGTGGCCAGATTATTATATACACCGAGTGGCCGGATTATTATATACACTGAGTGGCCGGATTATTATATACACCGAGTGGCGCTGAAGTTGCTAGAGGGCCAGACCATTATAAATAGGGAAGCAGGTTGGTTACCACGACAGTAGAAGTGATTTGTTTCTGAAGATACGGGGAAACAACGCGATGTAACAGCCTTTGAACGCGGGATGATTGTTGGCGCTCGGAGCCATGGAGCGAGTATCAGCAAAACAGCAGAATTCGTTACATGTTCAAGAGGGGCTCATTGTTAAAGTGTTTAAAGACCGGACTGTCAGCCGAAAATCTGGGTCTGAACGTGCGAATTGTGGCCGTCAGCGACTAGTCAATGTTAGGGCAGAATGGGGGAGGGGCAAGACTGGTACAAGACAACAGAAGGGCAACAGTGCCGTGTCAGATTCCTCGCATCACCTTTCATCATCTCGTGGAGTCACGAGGCGGCCCAACCAAGTACTGATGGGGTGGTCATAATAATCTGGCCACTCAGTGTATAGTTGATCTAAAAGACTCTGTCACCATCCATTGGATAATATTAAGCCCATGTAAATGTATGCACAGAGTGATAACCCTAAGCCATGTTTTGGGAAACTGACTTCCTCCACTCGGCCTGCAAACAAATTGCTTTTTGGAATCACCTCTAGGACACAGATACAGCCGCTCTTCCTTACTGCCCTGACCTCATGCCTCACGACTCTTTCACAGCTCATACAAGGAGTATGGGTGACCGTGTTTTTATCCATGTGTTTGATTTATGATGAAGTCTCCTGCCTAAGATCCTGCCCATATACAATGATAACCGGTGACGTTCAACCTCCCATGTAAACCACGATGCCACTGCTTTTTGCCCCAGAGGGAGAGTCCATTGAGGGAGCACATATCATTGGGTGACAATGCTGTCATTGCATACAGGTCATGGAAAAGCAGTGTTGTCACCCGATTACTGAAAGTGCTTGGGGTCAGTGCTTGAGATAACTTTGGAGAGAAATTAGATCACCAAAAAAAAGAGAGAGACTGGCCAAGGGTAAGACACTGATTGTGTGGCAAGGTATTTGTTTGTGATGACGGCATACATTCACTTTAATCACATTGCAAGGGCTGGTGACAGGGTCTCTTTAACCCCAATGCATAGTGTGTTAAATATTATCAAAATTAGAAGAACCCTCTTACCCCAAGACACAGAACCAACATTTACCTGCGGGCCGGAGAAGCGGGCCGTAGCTGTACTAGGATGAACCCCGTACTCTGCAGGTACTGGATGTATTGCTGCATGAACGCTGTGCACAGTTCCTGGAGCCAGGGCTCATCCTTCGCTTTGCTGGGCGGCATGTCTGCGGAATCGCAACTGTGACTGCGGTCTCTGCCTGACGTCCCCGAGTCATTGGACCGGTGCCGTTTCTGGGAAAATGAATTGTGTTACGTTTTATAATTTACCTCCTAAATTCTGTCACATTAAGTTTTGGTTCCCAGAAGCAAAATCATCCTTTTTGAGGAACGAAGGACAGCGTAAGAGTCAGTGACAATTGGCTTTTGTTCCCTCCCACTAATGTGATTGCAAAAGCAGCGTGCAGAAGATTAAATGCAGGTCAGAAGGAGATGAACTGCATGTCAAACGCACCTGTCAATTTACTAACTGAAGTATGTCAATACTGACTCTAAAGTACGTGGGTCTAAATGTGCAGCTTTCAGTGCATCTGCGGAGGGGCAGGGTGGGTTAAGTTAAGCCAGGGTAGGGGGCAAAAAGGATAATTGCACTTTGTCTATAGGTGCACTTATCCTTTAATATGAACCCATGAGTCACTGAATCTGTGCTGGAAATGTGTAACTGTTGCTCTACATTTATAATATATCTTACTTTTCAATTCAGAAAGTAGTGTATACATATGAATCTGTGGCTGCCTATGTGTTGCAGATCTATAAAGTCCCAGCATGCGGGGCTATGTTGTTGACCTATCATGTGACCAGCATACCTTCCCTTCGCTCCTGCCCTGGTCGTTCTGAACCTGCACCTGGAAAGACGGGTCGAACAACAGCGGGGTGGCGCAATAATGAACCATCCGGGCAGACTGCTTCAGTGTGTCTAAATCTGCCGCCTGCGGAGGAGAAAAGAAACACCTCAAAAGAAAGCCAGGACCAAAAAGCGGAACTGAGGTCTTTGCTGATAAAGAGGGACTTACACTGATTGGCATATTCGACTGCGCTGACCTCTGCTGCCACGTCACAAAGAGGTTCTCAATCTTCAGCTGTTTCTCCACTTCTGAAATACAAATGGGAATGTTAAAGGTGAACTCCAGCCTTTCCTTTTTTTCCCCCTCTACACTTACAGCATGTCCCCTCCCGTGTTGAATCTGATTACTATTGATTCCTGCAAACGTGCATCTCCACAATACAACCCCTTAAGCTGCAGCCGGTATCTTGAGCTTGCCTTCGTTTCCTCAATCTACAAGTGTCCCATTGCACTCCAGACCGGAATCCCTTAGTAATATGATAGAAGGGGGCTGGGTGAGAAGCAGATTTTCTGTTTGCCTGATGAAGGGACCACTGGGTTCTGAAATGTCGCTTGGAAAGGTTATACCACCTTAGTCAATAAAGAGATTGACTGGGCATCACGTTGGAGTGCGAGTGACGTTTTGCTGGTTCTATGTGATTTGCAGAGGCATCTGCTGTCACTGCTGCACCCACCCTGTTATTGGGATTTTTTCCGGTCAGGAGTGCGATGGGACATATGGAATTCTGGGTGAGAAGCAGAAGGCGCTGCACAGATCCAAGTATAAAGAAGTAATCGCCCGCACACCAAAGTCTCTTGCGTTAATCCGTCCTTTTATTGACATCAGATACATATGGCATCACAAGCATAAAGCAACGTTTCGGAACCTAACATGGTCCCTTCATCAGGCAAAAAGCAAAGTGACTGCCTGATGAAGGGTTGCTTTATGCTTGTGATGCCATATGTATCTGATGTCAATAAAAGGACGGATTGATGCATGGGACCTCGATGTGCGGGCGATGAATTCTTTATGTCTCCCATCCTGTCTCATCAATCTCTTCTTCTCCTGAACCATACTGTTGGTAGCCCTTGACTTACATCTATAAGCTTTCTCTGCCACCAATCATTGGGCGTGATCTTTAGGGCTGACATCAGTCACTGAACTGCTGTTCCCAAGCATTATATGCAAGAAAACATAATCAGCATCCCTTTAGATGTAAATCTGTGCTGGCAGCTGAGTGTTGTAGGCATTGGCTGTGCAATCTGTACCAGAAACATGTCTGATAGAGTGCAATCAGGCAACTGAACAAGAGATTGCACAGCCAATGCCTGCGGGGCCCTGTGGCCAGCAAAGAAGCCGGGTATATGTTCTTTCATTTAATGCTTGGGGCAGGTTGCTGAGACCCCTGCCAGCTCCTTCCAGAAATCTAGATCTTACTTTGGAGCAAACACAAACAGACAAGTCTGGTGAGGACATCACTAGTATTTCTTGAAACTAAATGATTTGATTGCAACTTTTTAACTTTGACTATTTTATATGAAAATGTCCCAGCACCCTGATTCAGTACTCCTCTCAGCCCTGATGCAAGCAGTGAGCTGGCTCCTGGGAAGAGTATGCAAATATCAATATGCCTTGCTAAGTGGATGTCTGTGTGGGTGAGTGGGCAATCCTAGGCAGGTTGCATTTGTATGCAGACCATCCTAGGCAACAGCCACATGTAATGTGGAGTCTCCATGATTGCAAAAACTGAATTCCAATGAATGAAAGGGGCGGGCCAGGGACTGGGAAGGGCAAGAAAAAGCTAGATGTTGCTGGAGGTCCTCCAGCCAAGAAATTAGGTGGGCTTTATCTAACCTGCTGTGAAGCCCACAGTTTGCAGTGAAATTAGAGTAAAAGTGAAGGCAAGGCTGGAATAATCCCATCTGTGTGGTACCACTACAGTGCTAATCTTGTGCCCCGGCCATATAAACTAGGTGGTAGTGTTAATAACAAATGCTTGCTGATTATTTTGATCTCTCCTGACCTCTTCTCTCTGTGCTCTTAATCTCCAGGAACTGGGCTCCATGGCGGGATACAGTGTCCAGCTCAGAGGAAAGATGCATGGGCTTCACAGGCATGACGTCCCGGAGAACCTCGTCGAATGGCACAATGTCCGGAGGGTAGTGTAAGGACGGGAGGCCGCGGCCTGAGGTTCCCAGACGAGTCTGTTCCTTGTATGGTGGAGGAGTGGGGCTTCGGATAAGGACATCTACCTCCAAGGTGGAATTGAGGAAGGGGTTGGGATCCTAATTAAAAAACACAAAGAAAATACATATATAAGTAGACAAGACTAAGCTGTTATAGAATTACACCCCAGAGACTGCAACCATTTGCTGTGCGACATCCTTTCAGGTCTCACTGCACAAGTAGGGTACCTGCTACCTATAGAAGTGGGGTACCTGCTACCTATAGAATACATTTAGTGCAACAATAATCCAAAGGTCTCTAGTTCCCCCAGGGAAGAAAGCAAACTTTAATACTTACCACTGAATCGCAACACTCAAGGGCCTGTGCAAAGATAAGGAAGAAAAAAGTCTAAAGCCACGACCATTGCAATTTCCTCCTCATTGGCCTACTTCTACAAGGGCTATTCCTCCCTTTAGTCCATCATGAATGCTGCCAACAGACTCATCAACCTTACCAACCGCTCAATGTCCTCCACTTCTTTCTGCTAGTCCCTTCAATGACTTCCATCCGTGTCTGCCAATTCCTCCACCGGCTTCTGCTCACCCACAAATACAATTCGAAATACTAACAAAACGTACTAAGCCAAACCCGACTCTGCCCCGAGCTACATCACCAACCTCATCTCAGAATCTCACCCAAACTGTCCTCTTCACTCCTGCCAAGACCTCCTACTCTGCAACTCCCTCATTATCTCCTCCCATACTTGCCTCCAGGACTTCTCTAAAGCCACTTCCATCCTCTGGAACACCATAACCCAATATGTCAGACATTTCTTACTTTGCCCAGCGATCCCTTCCCGAAAACATCACCGCTCTCTGCTTCAGCAATCCTCTCGAGAGCCCTAAGCCCTGATGCAAGCAGTCTGGATGAGTGAGCTTTCCTAGGCAGGCTGAATCTGCATGCAGACCGCCCTACGTAACACCCACACGTGATGCTGAACCACCACGATTAAGAGAAATAAAATCCAATCAATGAAATGGCAAGTTAGGGACAGTCAAGCTGGGGAAGAAAGGATTAGGTCAGGGGTGGGGAACTACACGTTCCACGAGGCATTGCAAGACAAAGTTACAGGCATGACTCGCAGAGGCATGTTGGGATTTGTATTTAAATCCCACTTGGGGGGGGGCGGAGTCGCTCAACCCTGGACTAGGTGATGCTAGATGATGCTGGTCATCCTCCAGCCAGGAAGGTGGGCACTGTCTGACTTGCTGCAGCTTCTAATGCTGTACTTCTCAACTGGTGGGTTTGCGAACCAAAAGTGGGGTGCAACTCAATGTTCTGTGGGTTGCCGCATGGCTTCCACTGTGCCAGATGAGAGGCTCCTCAGCCACCCCCTAGCACTGTCAGTTCTCGTGCCGAACACCGATTCAAATTTGATGCCCGACGCTGAGTGTCAGATTGAGGTGGCGTGGGTTGGGGGTATGGCCGCGAAGGAGCATACTGACATCATATTCTGGCTCCTGGCACCTCTATATGGCTAGCAAGGGAGCTGTATAAACAATGCACATATGGATGGAGCTCCGTGACAGCACAGCAGCCCACACTGGACCCCAGTCCGAGGATCCACTCCAGTTCTCGTAAGGTAGGGAGACTGGGTGGATCTTAATGGCACCCCAAACGCACCTTCCGCCCACAGTTCGATCACCCGCACCATTGATCAAACCGGTCCCTATGCGTGCCCTGTAGTGGTAACATAATGCCGTGCGTTCCAGTGGGGTGCAACTTAATGACCAAAGGACAAATGTGGGTCCTGAGATTACACAGGTTCAGAACCTCTGTTCTGATGCACATTGTGAGAAGCTCCCAGTGTGCAGTGAAATCAGAGGAAGCCATTTCAGTCCAGGAGAGGAGCCGCTACAACTGTGCGAGACTGAAGGGAAGGCCGGAGTTCAGCTTGATGTTAAGACTAAAGGCTCGGGAGAGCAAATGGTTAAGTGTGAGTGGTATCCTAAGGGTTAGGTTAACGTTAGGGGTCAGGATGTACGAGGACACTTCATTTCTAAACATCATATGAACATAACGCCTTTACCTGTTTGTTGTCCTCGTGCCACGGAGTGTCTGTGAAGCAGTAGTGATGGAACAGTCCCATCTTCTGATTCAGGAGACAGTGCACAACGTGTGCCCGCGCATTCTGCCACTGGATCAAACGCACCAGAGAGCGGCTGAGAGATGCCCCCAAATCTGGCGACCAATTGTACGTGTACAGGGTGAGCTGCGGGGACAGGAAACTCCGGGGATTAGATGGAAAGCCTTCAAAGCAGAGGCCGCTCAAGGCTGATCCCTATCACAGCATAGAATGTTACACTCACCTTCTTGTCTTGTATTTCGATTAACAGAAATCTTTGTCGGGGGACCAAACCACGGACTGATGTGGACAGATCCAGAGGTCTCTCTGCTGAACCGAGCTCCATGGCTTCAAACCGCTGGGAACCTTTTTGAGCTGCAAGTACAAAATGTATGTCTATGTAAACAGAGGTGCATTGGGTCTTGTCTCCGCCCCCTCCTGTAATAAAGACCGCTCACTGATGCGCTCTCTCCTTGTTCAGGGTGACCGGTCTCGTCTCCGCCTGTAATAAAGACCGGTCACTGTTGCTCTCTCTCCTTGTGCAGGGCGACTGGTCTTGTCTCCGCCCCCTCCTGTAATAAAGACCGCTCACTGATGCGCTCTCTCCTTGTTCAGGGTGACCGGTCTCGTCTCCGCCTGTAATAAAGACCGGTCACTGTTGCTCTCTCTCCTTGTGCAGGGCGACTGGTCTTGTCTCCGCCCCCTCCTGTAATAACGACCGGTCACTGCTGCTCTCTCTCCTTGTGCAGGCTGACTGGTCTTGTCTCCACCCCTTGCTGTAGTTTTCTGCAAAAAATGTGGCCTGCTGGGCCCCTCCCACAGCTCTGCTCTCTGCAAAGACTATGTACAGCCTGTGCAGAGAGCACACCTATGTACAGAAAGGTAATATATATTGGTCTTGGCTCTGTCCCTTGCTGAAGTTTTCTGCAGAAAGCTCAAAGTAGAACTTTCTGGGTTCTACTCCCCCCCCCCCCCCC